AAACATACCGCCAACCCCCCCCCCCCCATTGACGTTAAAAGACCCTTGTATTGGTACAGACCTGTCCCGGTCATGGCCAGGGAGCTTGCCTGCGCAGCTGCAGACGGCAGAGTGGATGCTGTGAGCTGCTTGGTTGATGTTCAGACACTCTGATGGCGGCCGTGCTGTCGAAACTGCGGTGGTCTGCAAAGCCCCAGCCATTTTGGATGGAATGGCCCGGAATTTCATTTCGGCAGATTGCGTGTTCTTTGTTGTGAGGTTTCGGAATTCCCAGCCAGTGTGGCCACATCGTGCAGCACCTAGTGCTTGTACAGGTTCATTCCCCTCGAAGAGACATCTGAAACTGTCGGCCAGCAGAGATGAATCGCAGTGCCATTTGTTATATATATATATAATACTATATTATATAGTGTGTATATATATATAGAGTCTATATATTTTGTTTCGTGTTCCTCGCACCTTGGCCTCCCAGGTTTGGGCTCGGCTATCAGCGCTTGTGGACAGACGGGCCGATGGAGGCGTTTCAGCTGCAGGTCTTGTCGACATCGTCTCATTTTAGAATCGAAGTGAGCGCTTGGGGCTACTTTGAACATGTGGTTACTTGTCATTAGCTCCCATGCTCTCTTTACCCTGAGCCCAAAAATCGAAACCGTCAGTTTCTCAAGGTTTCCACTCAGCCACTCCCCCCCGCCGGAACCTCAACAAGGGAGCAAGTTCCTCAGAGTGGCACTGGCAAGGCATAGTCTGCGTCTCCTGGAGCAGTTCAACTCTGAAACACCTTTCAACGAGCGGCTTGCCTGCAGGGACAGAGGATGTGCGTGCACTACCAAGCAAACAGGTACGTCACTGGGATTCATAGCTTGTTATAGGTGTTGTTATAAGCCCCTGTTTGAATATTGACCTTCGGGAAGTCTCTGGGTGTTAGATCCAGTGTGCAACCGGGCTCTGTCGAGCAGTCTTATCGCCTTATCTGCACCAGACTCATTGCACGGGGGTGCAAGGAACGGCCACAGCAATTAAAACAGCATGAACTCCGAACACACGTACCAACCGTGAAATCCAAAGTGTTGCGGCCGAGGATCGCGCGCAATGCTGCGATCGGAGCCTGTGAGACAGCTACTCGGAGGCTTGCAATGCTGGCAAAGGCTGCGTCATCGATGACCCTTGTTCGGGAGGATAGGTTCGATTTACGTAGTCAAGTCACATTACCTGAAGATCTTCATGTCCTCCTCGTATCCTGGCACGCCAGCCCCCAAGGTACCTTTTGCAGCCTTGTGGGCTTGCGTGCGCAGAGCTGACATTGATTGTTGTATCTTATGCCAGGAACAATTCCAGCTTAAAGGCCTAGATGCCCATGCCCGTTTCTGCCCGCTGCGTCTGAGAGCCTCGAGCCTGCAATCCAGCTCGGACAGAAAACAGCACTACTCAGTCCTCTACTTTAGACCCTGAGGGGACTAAGAGAAGACATTCCCAGCCCGAGTACCTCACTCGACACGCCCAGAGCTGCCAGGAGCCCCGAGGAGCCCCAAGGTCACTCACAAGCAAAGATCACCCAAAGCTTGATGCATCATGGTGCGACCTGCAGTCGCAGGCTCCCTTCTCTTGGCTCTCGCCTAAGATTGGCCACAGTCACACCAGAGTTTGTGTCTCACCACCTCCTTACGACCTCTCAGTTTCTCGTGTGTCAAGTCGTTGGGACCTGTCCGGGTGGAAGCGATTGGTGCGTCGACAAGAGTGCCTTGATAAGTTGGACAGACTACGCATGTGCGTTGTTTTCGCAGGCTTCACACGTGCTTCTTTCTCTGGTTCTCTCTGTAGGCATTGTATCTCTCACTGTGCCGGGGTGCACAACAACACGTCGTCCTGTTTCCCCAAATCAAACCAGAGCAGCACCATATAGTACTTGGCTGGGACCATGGAGGGACTTCAGAAGTCAGTTCGGACCTTTGCACCCGAGAATCCATCGGCAAACCTGCACTTTAGGTGCTTTACATCGCCTACATGGCCAAGCCGACGCAGTGCGCATGGTTCACTCAGGGCCGCCTCGCCGATGTCAACATGAGCCTGCAATTAACTTTCTTGAATCATGCGAATCGTGACACTTCCAATCGGCGACTCTTCGCTTCAGAACTCCCAGCCTATGCCTAGCCAGCGAACCATCCCGCGACTAGAACATGCAAGGCAGCGATCTTGCAGAGTTTAAGGCTTAAGGCAAACACACTCTTGGCTGTCTCCACTTATTCTGCAAGGAGTGGTGGTAGGGGCGATAACAAGGACCAAAGAGCCAACAGGAAATGCTTGCCAGACGTTGGCCGAAGCACGGACACCAGCAACTCTACATCGCCCATACAGCTGACAAATGCATCCCTACGGCGAGCACCTGGCGCTTGTGGATTGGCAACGTTGCAGCATGCTGCAGCATAGGGTGCATGAGAGGGCACATGCCGCAAGAGACACGATTCAACTCGTGGCCTACAAGCGGAAACGTCGAGTTCAACGACTCCTATACAACCTGAACAGGTCTCTGTTTGATCGCCTCTGTGGGTCGATCTGCAGCGTGCCGTCCGGGATTTTTTAAATTGACTGCCTTGCGTCGGGGTGCAAGCACCTCCCCTACAGCATTTCTGCTCAAGCCAGCATCGTGTTTTTGGCAAGCTCATCCTGACTACATGACTCTCTCCTTCCTTGCACTCGTCCTTTGGGTGTCAGCGCCTGCCGAAGCCGTCCGGTCTACAGGTGAGGCTGTCCATCCGTGGAGCAAAGGGAATCCTTATGAGCTTCTGGAAGGAACGACCGCGGCATGCCACTCACAGATGAAGGGCCTCATTGACGACTTGCGAGGGAAGTGTGTGGAGATGGGGAAGTGGTCGGAGAACTACTGCTTGGACGAAATCTATAAAACGCTGACAAGTGAGTTTCAGCACACGGAAGAGTACTTGGACAAGCTGGCCAGGTCCAAACGGGACGCGCTCTTGTGGGCTGGATTTTGGGAGGGGGATGGTACAGAAGAAGGCCGCACCACTCTGCGAGCGCTCCAAAACTTCGCCAACATGGTAGACCACGAGACAGTCCATCCCAGCACTGAGCTGGGAAGGATCGTGAGGAAGAATGGAGACTTGCAGGCTTGCATAAAGGATCCTGCTGCCACCAAGCCGCGCACCAGACGGTTCGATGACCCCGGCTTTCTCAGGAGCTTCTGGACATCAGCGAGCCAAGCTTTTGTCCGAGGCATGGCAGACAAGAACCAGCGTGCCGTCATAGCCCTGGTGAACAAGGACCTCGATAATGGAGCTGAACATAGCATCCACGACTCTGTGCTTTGGATGTATGAGCTGCCTACGGTATCAGAGGCAGTGAGTGCCCGCGCCCGGACTGAGAGGGGAAAGGATGTCCCTGTGTATTGGGAGCCCCAAGTGATCGTGGTGGATTTGCGCGGGACTTGTGGACAACTGCGAGATAAGCTCCAGAATCACATGATTGAAGATGGATCGGATTTTGGCCTCAGTGTTGACAGGATGAAGAAACTGTTCCAGAAGAAGCCAGTGATATGCCTGGACTGCGCTTCCCCGTGCATGCTGGATCAAAACATGGCAAACAGGGTGAAGGACGCCTGTTCCCCTTGACCAAAGCGTTCGGGGAAAGTCGTAGCCGATATCCAGGGCCTGGCAAAATAACACCAGAAACCGGTCAACTGAAGCGAATTTCAGTATGCTGGAAGCACATAGACATCGTGCCGTGGCAAAAACACCAGAAATTGTAGCGTGCTGAGCGGAGTCGAGGTTTGCCTTCTCCGTCCGAGCATACTTCCATGGCTCACAACATCGCAGCTCAGAGAAGTCGAGGGAACCCCAGGAAGTCCGCGCAGGGCTCTTGTTGGTGAAGTTTCGGCTGTCGTCGCAATACATGGTCTTTTGCTACACGTGAATGCAAGAAGAGGTCCTGAGGTCCTGTCTGGCAGCCGCACTCTCCCTCGGCTAAACTCCGCTCTTCCAGCTCCCGGGTTTGGGCCAGGTACACGCTGATCCTGGCCACCTTTGAAAAGGCACGAGCGTTTCATGTATGACCGTTTCTGCAAGTGTTCCGATAAAGCAGTGGTTTGGGGATCGGGAAGCTTGCTTTGTGGATGGCCCGATTTGTCTCGACGAGTTCAATGGTTTGGCGAACTTGAATTGCAGACACTGATCATGCGGGATTGGGGAGAGGCGTACGTTGCAAGGAGAGAACACTCCCGCCCGAACTTGGGTGCGGATGGTCATTGAGGAAGTCGCCTTAGTCACGTCCTTTGACTCTATCCTTGTAGGACACAACTATTGCATTTCTCGTCTGGCTGTGCTTGCCCTGGTCATTCGCGAACTGGCGGCGTTGCTTTGTAAGGACAGCCCATCTGACCCCAGCGCTGAGGAGGCATCGTGAGCTCGATCGGGATGGGGCATTTCTGCGCTCATGTGGAATATACTGTCTCAGCTCATTGGGACATGCTTGCATGCGCATGCAAACATGCAGAGGCTTTTCGGGAATCCAGCGCGCTCCCGTTGATGCCTCAGTTTCAGGGAGAAATAGATATTTTTCGGAAGAGTTCTGGGTGTGTGTCCGGGCATGGAACAGGCGTGACTGTTGAGCTTTGGGATTCGGTCTGTAATGACAGTAACAGCTGAGAGGCTCAACCAGGCAGTCCGAGCTTCAAATGCCAGCCTGAAGTCAAAGCCCTTCACATCCAGATCCCACGGACGCCTCATGACCTACCGTCATCACTATATAGGAGCCCATATACTGCGATAGATGACAGCCTTATCTCAGATGCAGCACAAGCCGCGCGTAAGGTCAGAGCTCCGACGAAAGTTACATAGCCCTGTCTGGGTGGCCGATGACAAGGGGGAAGGCTGCAAATGCAGTCGCAAGTGCTTGGTTCTGGGTAGCCAGCCAAGCTTGGATGTTACAGTATGGCTCTGGTTGGTGAGATCAATGTGTGTCTACAGGCAAACCTCTTCGCTCATCCTGTTTGCTTATCCCTGCAGTCATTGCGATGCTGACGGGTGGGTCCCTGGATGACTGGGCGAAGAACCCAGAGTACGTCCTGGAGGCCACCAGGCTTTCTTTCAGCTTGGAGGGCCTGTTCGCACCTTACAGCGGTCTTTGTATCATTTCACTCCATAGTCACAGGTTTATTTTGGGTGGCTCCCATAATTGTCTATGTGTCACATGAGTGCTCAGCACCACTAGGTCACTAGGTAGCATACGGTCCACCGGTACACCGGAATCAGCTACCTCTGTGGATCGACCTCAGGAGGTTACCCGCCGCAAAGTGAAGCTGCGCTTCGGCACTTTCGAGGAAAGGTTGCCAGATGTGACGGGAACCCGATCCCAAAGGGTCTTTATAGGCCCAAATAGCTACAAAGAGCCGTATAAGATATTGGTACTCGGACCTTTTGGGAATAGCGGCAGAAGGCGAATCACTGGGAGTGGCACCTTAAGCGCTTGCGACTGAATTGGGTGGGTATGTCCAGTCGTTGACGCGACGTATGTTCGGAGGTTTGTGGTTGTTGGGATTGTTTCATGGGCCTGGGGTTTCCCGGTCGGCCTGAGCTATGCGTCGGAGGTCCCATGATTCCAGTCAGTTCGCGCTGCCTCTGACTGCGTCCGAGAGTGAGCGCTTCATTAAGGGGCCTGAAAACTTGCCGATGCTATTCATACTGCAAGGGCTCTTTCTTATAACTATACTAGAGTCTACCGAAAATTTCCAATCCTAATTATTGATAAGGCCTCTATATTCGACAGGATCGCTGTTGCGACAACGGTGGCCTTGGCGACCACCTCGATCGTCTCGCCGCGGCGGTGGCCCGGGATGTGGATGGCCTGGCACCTCGCCCCAGATGTCAGTGCCACGCACTACACGCATGCGTCATATTGTGAAGGTGCATACATGCCGATGCCTGTGCATGTACGGGTAGAGTCAGGTAGAGTACAACAGTGCAGAGTTGTTGATGCGGGCGCGTGCAACATGAAAACACCTTTATAGTCTATCAGCTGCACCTTTGCCATTTTCGAAGGTATTAGTCGTGATTAGTGATCAGGTTGTAGATCGCAGGCCAAGCCAGTTTCATGGGGTGAAATTCGTAGGCCGGTCGTGACAGGCTGCTCCCCGGTTTTTGTCGGCATCATTGCCAGCAGCCTCCACGCCTGATCAATGCTTGTTCATCTAAGTTTGGACGCTCCTGGGCTGCGAAGCTGCAGATCACCCCGAAGGAGGATACGGCATTGGATGCACATCTCGCACCTTCGTCACACAACATGCTGCAGTGTAAATTCGTGGACTGTCAGTTGCATTGCCCAGTCGAGCCTCATAGCATGTTGGAAAACGACTGAGCTAATCCGCCTGAGCCGGCAGCTGTGGCCCAAACACCACGAGAAGGAACGGCCAGCCTTAAATGCATGCCGCAGCCCATATTAGTCTCCACCATGTCATAATACCAATCAGGTAGACCCTTCAATGATGGACCTCTCAGACATGCACGATCCCACCCTGCTGCTACAAGGTCTCCCACAGACTCATCTCGATGCCATGGACGATGGAAGTTGTGGGCCCAAGCATTCCAAAACGTAGGGCTGCAAGAATCAGAATTGTGTGGTTTCAGGCAGTGCCACCTGTCTAAAGTCCCGGTGCTTCAGATAACTACTGAGAAACTACTGCCATGCACGGGACCGTTGTAACAGTTGCATTGGTGATGACTGCTGACGACAGCAAAGCTTTGTCCCAAAGCGCCCTCTGGGGATTCAGGCTACAGGAGTCGATTCTTGAAGTGTCAAAATACAGATGTCCTCAGAAGACTGAAGCCTGTACGCCGGTGAGAGTTGACACCCCAACTCCCGGTTAATAGTACCAGCCTAGCAACACCCCGGACTACTTGAGCCTCCTACTTCGCGCACGATCAAATCGGAGCCCTGGGGCAGCTCGAGCCGTGTTACACCAGCTGGCAAACGAAGCCGAATGAGTGCAAGAACTTTGCCCCGAATCTACCCAGACTTGAGCCCAGATTAACATAATTGTCTGGAAGCTCAGCCGAATTTGTCGCTCAACTGGCCTTTCAGCTCGGATTTGGGGAGCCCACGAGACGTCCCCGAAAGGGCCATGCCGGGCAACGGCTGCCCGGCAGCATTGGTGGATAGATAGTGTCAGTACCGCAGAATCTCCCGGGAGTGATCGGTGCTATGGGTGTCCTTCCAGACCGTGGCCGAAATCCTTCGCAAGTTGAGGCTAGCTGCCAATGGCGGAGCGGCGAGTGTCCAGCGGAGATGCTGCAGGGACACAAATCATCCGAAGCGTCTTGGCTTTGAGAACCCCCACAGACTTACCAGTTGCCAGAGGCAGTGAGCCGGGATCGCAGCTCCTTTGGGGCGAGTTTGCTCGTCAATGATGTGCAGAGAGCAGTCTCCACAAAAGTTGGCCCACCTTGCTAAGTGAAACCTTCACGCGACTGACTTAGATGCCCGCATACTTCACTCCATCACGAAGCGACAGAACGGAAAGCGGGGTCTTCCATTGAACCAGAATTCAAGATGTGACGTCCCTGACTTGCAGGGTACGCAGTCGAAACCAGACCTCCCGAAGAGTGTGGATGCAAGCCTCCGACCCGAGCCCCACCCTATGGAGTAGCAAACAGATGCACGTTACTGCTAGATTCTGCTAGATGTAATGAGTGCATGCAGTGATATTCCATTCTCACCGTTTGCAGCTGGATCCTCATTCATTCAGGGTGACTTTTTTGGAATTGCGGCATTATGGCTGTGTTTGTTTGGTGGGTTTCGGTCGTTTGCATATACCGCACAGTTCCAGTATACATATCATGTCTATAAGCAGAGGCATGCAATTAAGAAGGATATCCAGCAGCATGCTTGCACCTCATGGAGGCAGACACAGCAGTATTCCCTGACACCTCCAGCTTTCGGCACTGCTTATCCAAGTTTGCCTGCGCTCCTGGAACAAAGACTCCTTGCTGCGGGCCTGGTTTGATCACTTTGACACTGCGGCTGGTTTAGGGCTTGGGGTGCCTTGGGGAGACGAAAAGAGTCGTTTCGCTTTCTGAGGCAGACTTCAGTAGATTCGTCCGGGAGGCTCAGGTGGCTTGAGTGCTGGAGTGTTGGAGGGTTGCTTTCGAGCCGAATGCATGGCTTCTGGTGCAAGAGACCCAAGTCCGAAGCCTTACAGCTGAAGAGGGCGCATTGCCCAGGTTCTGGCCGGCACACCGGCAACAAGTATAGCATAAGTATAATGTACTCAAGCGAGTACGGAGTAGTCAGGCCGGACTGAATGAAAGAACAAATGAACATTGGACAAGTAGATCTAAATGACAAAGTCGTGATGAACCTTGCAGAGGCTTCAGACTGCCTTAAGCTTAGTATGCATTCCAACGGGACAGCCCTGGCAACAGATATTCCGCCAGGATTGCGCCCTCTTACATGCACCTTACTCCGACGGGGCATGTTAACTCGCATGCTGAATGGTCATGCTGAAGGGACCTTAACGGCTGCAAAATCTTTGCCTCGAAGCCTCAGCCATGCAGACTTCTGACTTGTGCATAAAGGCTGTCATTTTATGGTCGTGCAGAGCAACCTAGACAGCCCAGGATGATGATCGAAATGGCTTCTTCGTGCCTTGCAAGCTTGTTGGACCGTGGGGGATGTGGAGAGTTTGCTTTCCGTGCAGAGGCTGATTCGGAGTCACATGGCACCTTCAGCACACAGATCTGTTCTCAGATTCCTGAAGACTGGTACCACACATTCAGAGCAGCTCAGCACCTTACATGCGGTGGCTGGCACGTAAGATACGGCTTGCTTGACCACTTTATGCAAGCATAGATCAAACAGCGGGATGGAAGAGCTCCATTGCACACGTGCATGTGCTGAGCAGGTGGTACCCGAACTATATTGCCCCATGTGATCTTTGGAAGGGAAGTTGCACAGTTGCCCAAGGAACAGGATGAGTTCAACGCAGTGGCCGATCGCATTGCCCATCCAAACCCGCAGCATGTCAAGATTGAGCTTGAAAAGCTTGCCAGTTGTTTTTTTACCATCACTTGGTTCATGGTCACTTGTATTTGATACTGACACAGCGGTCTTGGCTTGGCCTGTCTTCTTCCTTGGGAAGCCACGCTCGCACACTTCTTTTGACAGCTATAGGTACCAGCTGTGGCAGCAGCTGGACAGCGACCGGACAGGCTACGTCAGCCTGCGAGACATCAGCGAGGCTGGCAGAATTCCAAGGCAAATTGATGCAGTGGATGCCAATCATTTCAGGACTTGCAACAGCTGCAAACGTAATGCTCGCGGACCTAAGCTCTCGACGCAAAGAACGCGCAAATGGCAAATTGGGAACTCCCACCCCGCACCACGCACAAATTTGCCTTTGTCGAGCTTTGCAGTCTGCATGCAGCATGTTTTCCATTGTCCTGACTTATAAGAAGCCTGTTGAGGACGATGCTCAGCTCTGGTTTGAATTTCGAACTTTCTGCGGCGCAAACTTCAAGAGCGCGCGGCCTGGACGCAAGGCTTCAGCGTGTCTTGAGAGGTTCATCGTACGCGGGTTCTCACCCCGGATGTTTTCTTCATAGTGTTGGACTTCCAGTACATTTCGAATTCCGACTCAAGCATGGAAGTCTCAGTCTCTGCGGAACCCTGCATGACTTTCACCTTCAATGAGAACCGTCATGAAGGACATATATATATATACACATATAGATATATAAAAACTAATATAATGTGTGTATATATATATAAGTATATATATATATATAGCTGCGCTGTCGCGGAGGAAGGACATGATGGTGCAAGTTCTGGGCATCAACAGCGAAGAGGAGCGCAAGGAGCAAAAACAGATTTCTCGGAGCCACTGAGCCGAAGACAAGGGCTTAAGTTATTAAGGGTTTAGGGTTTAGGGTTTATTAATAGGGTTTAGGGTTTCGGGTTTAGGGATGTCAGCTCTTGGGTTCCTGATTATGTTTATTTGGGAGCTATAGGATGCTACAGTGTTCGAGGCTATCTCCAAAGTCTTCCTGTTCGGAACAGCTATTTGCGAAGATGAGCAGAGCTTGCACCGAGCCCCTGGTTACGGTTACTGGTTGCGATGCCATTCGTCGCAGGGTTCGCTTTTTATCCTTGGTGTCCAGCCTCGGTCTTCGAAAAGTTTTAGTGTAGTTTCATCTCAAGACTCAAGGCCAGCCATCCCCAATCCTCACGCAGATTCCTGTGGCACGGAGCAACAAGACAGCAACCTCTGGCAGCCCAGGCAAGCTCTTCGGACTGAGGAGCGCCTGCTTCGAGTTAGGTATACCCATAGGCCCCTAAGTAGTTCCTTTTTCATGGTTTATATTTAGAGTCCTATAAGGTAATCACAAAAAGGAACTACTTAGGGGTCTATGGGTAGAGACTGCAGGCTTAGATTCCGATCTTAAGCTTTGCAGGCAGATCTTGAAGTCCGTTCGCAAAGCTGAGCTGTGGTGAGCAAATCTAGTCTCTACCGATTGCATGCATACTGCGACACTGCAAGACATATAATGCATACATTGAAAGATTCCGGCTTGGCCAAGCTCTTGCATCCAGGAGCTCTTCGAAAGCCCATAAATCCAGCACCGGCGCTGTGCGGGCAGGTTGTGGGAGTTTTGAAGTTTCGGAATTCCGGAATTGACGTCGTTGACAGCGGCCAATGGATTCTACTCTCTCTCTCTCTCTCTCTCAGATGTCATTCATTTGTCTCTCTCGTACTCTCTCTCTCTCTCTCTCTCTCTCTCTCTCTCGCTCTCCATCTCTCTCTCTCCCCCTTCTCCCTGATTGACGGGGGTGGTTTGGCATGTATGCACAATCCCAAGTATGGAGTCTCAAGATCTCCGTTACCGTCACTCGTTCAGCCGCCCTTGGCTTAGATCTGGCCCCCTGCCAGGTGAAGAGTGTTCTTTTACCATCACCGAGGAAGCGTGGATAAGCGGCCTTACCCGATGTGGTCACCTGGCACAGAGACAGACCACTGACTAAGCAATTCAACCTTGGTTTCCTTGAAAAGCTCATGGAGACCTCCGGCAGCCGTAATCGAGCACTGGACACCGAGCTTGTTTCCTTTGTCCGTCCCGATAGCTCCTGGCCCAACACCTGCGATGGCAGAGGCTGGCAAAAGCATCTCCCGGAGCGCTGCCCCAAACGGGGGAAGGGGGGAACGGGCGGGCGATTCAAGGGTCTGATCAGAGACTAGAGCTTAGAGCGGCTTCGTCAGTGGATTAGAGCCGGGATGCTTTTGGAGACATCGTGAGAATGCCCGAATCGTGCCAGGAGTTATTCTACGCCTTGAAGGACATGCGCACAGGCTCGCTTCCTTGTCTCACGATAAGTTCATGGAGCGATACTGTTGACTACCTTGGCAGTAGTAAGTTCCCAAAGTTTAGAGAGACTTGAACCGACATCCGAAGCTTCCGAAAGTCAACAGCCTATTTGCTGGACAGGGCTCGTGGACGCCACGTCCCTTCGGTGGGTCGCTCTGGGCTCAGTCGCTTCTAAATTTGGCTCCGAAGCTACTCCTTTCAAAACCAATTCCTGCACCAAACCAAAACAAACACACACACACACACACCCCTCCTCTGAAGTTCCTGGACATTTATGCACGATCCCCCGTCCAAGTCACTGAGGAGCCGGAGGTCCGCAAGTATAACCAGAAGCAAGAGATGCGTCGGAGGCTGGGCCGTATGGTGTGTAACCTCTGCATGCTGGCGGCAAGTTGCGAGCTTGCGCGTGGAGCCTTTTTAATCCAAGTCAGAAGAAAGAGGTATATCACTAATGAGGCCTCGACTTCGTGCTGATCCTCTTCGGCTCGCAATTTAAGAGCTCTTGGAACGAAGAAACACCAGGTCACAAGAAGTAATATTGGATAACCATACACGGGACACAAATGGAGACGTTCAGGACAACGTAGTACCGCCCCAGATCACCCAGCTGCTTTGCCTCCCTCTTGGCTTGCGACCGAGAACCAGCTTTCAGGAATGCTACTTGTGGTCTCCATGGTAGTTTCTTGTTTGGCTATCCTCTAACATTGCATTCGGCAACCAATACAGACGAACTACAATGGAGGACCATATATACGGAACCTCTTGATAGTCCGGCTAGACCTCTTTTGGTCAAGGGTGATTTCTCAAGGGCTTGAGACTCAGGGGAGCTTCACCCTACCTTTGAGGGGCGTATGTAAGGACCTCAAAGAATGATGAGGAGCCCTACAAATGTAGGGTGTCTGGTGTCTATAGGGTTCAGGTAAGCCAACGCGCCCCCCCCACCCCCACGACCCCCACGACACGCGCACGTGCTATCCTTCGGCAAAGGCATAGCAGTTCATAATCACAGTGATTCTTACCAAATGAGTGTGGAGATTCTAAGTCTATAGCGTCATTACCTAGCTGCTGTAGCCTATACAACTTATGTGCTTCAATAGTTTAACAATGAACTAGCAATGGAGTCAATTTTAAGTATCTGCATGAACTGGTATTAAAGTATTTGATCCGTAGAAATACACTATCAAACGAGTTCACACGAAAAACACGGGCCCACACAGCGTACCTTTCTGTAAGGGTAAACCCTAGCAGGACAGGAGCAGAGCAGAAGGCAAAGGCCGCAGCGCGCAAGAGCCAGCGAGCGTCGCTCGGCAGAGACACTCCGAAGAATCTAATATAATATAAGCCTTCTCTCTCATCTAAGTCTAAAGCTCCGCGAGTCCATGTAGAGCTACAGGGCTTAGGGCTTAGGGTTTAGGGTGCAAAAGGATCATTGAAGAGGCCGTTGAATCTGGCATCAGACGAACATCATTCAGAAATGAGCGTCTGAGGAGTGCAAGACATTTTTAGGTGGACCCAACCCTGCTGTGCACGAGTAAGCTCGAGTTCACCCGAAGGTGGCCCGAGGCCCGTAGGTATTTTCCGATGCATTATTGTAATTCTTGTACACAAAACATGATCGTCTACATTGCGGTGCCTAGAAGTCTATTGTCTACATCGACGGCAGCATTCTCTCCTTCCGACAAGACGGTGTCTTGTCGGAAGGCTTTGATCTATGCTACTTGAGGACTTCCCTAGTTTGATGTGCTTTCAAATCCCAGAAGACAACTGTGCACTTCATGGTCTCCATATACCAGGACATGTGGCTTCGCAAGTCCCTATGTAGGTACTTTGGGGCCTAAACCCTATAAAATCCTAAACCCTGCCCTTGTAAGGTGGGAGGGAAAAAACCCGAAACCTGGGTAAGCGCGGACCTTCATCAGCCATGCCAACCTTGTGCGAGAGTGTGAGTCGAAACCTGGGTAAGTCCTTCGGGTTGGGGCCCGGCCTCTCTGTTCGCGGACAGCTGGAGCCGCGAAGAGTCGGAAATGCGATTTGCGAAAACCTGGAATCCCGGGTTGTGGTTTAGGGTTTAGGGTTTAGGGAAGTCTGGGTTCAAAAAGGGTTTAGGGGATACTTCTTGAAATGGACCCCTGCCTGCAGCAGGAACCTCCAGAACTTCAAGATTTTCTTGAGGAGCCGCTTTGGGCCTACATATCATGCCTGGCGGGAGGCTGGGTGGCACTGAGATTTGCTCGTGAATCTCTCAGGGCCTGTTTTTCGTCATCCTGCACTCAAAATGCCGAGACTTGCTGGCTTTTTGCCCCAGTTGATTGAAGCGATGTGACCCCCCTCTCCGTCCGGAACCTCCCGGGTTTGTACAGATTGGATCAGACTAGTACCCTTGTCCTCGGCAGGTTCTGGACACAGACGGCACGATGTGGCACGGCCGAATATCATGATCATGCTCTTTAGCCTACTCACCTCGACAACTTGACCTCGGAAGGTCTATACTGCAGTTCATGTTGCCATCTTATATAAGTCTGTCTCAACAAGTCAAGTTTCAATGCGTCTTCTGTCTTGCTCTTGAGATGTGAGGAGACCTCAGAAATGGGCCGCAACATGCCAATGCGCAGGCTATTCCCATAATGATACCCACCGCTTGAAGGATGAGTTGCTCGCCCGCCGAGGAACCTTCAGCGGCCCGAGCTCAAGAAGGTGTGCCGACAAATCGGTTGCTTTACTGCATTGAAGAGGCGGGATTTGTGATTTGCTGTTCTAGACTGCTGGATGGTCAGGACGCAGGCTTCAGGGTATGGCCGTCTCTTCTTGCTAGAAGCCACACAGATAGCTCAGTTGTAGCATACTCTATTCGTTGACAGACCTGACACGCAGCGCGGGCTCACACATTTGCAATTGCGAAGGCAACTCTTCCACGAAGCTGGCTCCGATTGTCGACGCATGCTTTTGCATCACACGCATGTCTCACTGTTTCATCTTGTCTAGCACCAAGCTTGTCATAGCATATCACAACGGAACGGCAGGCAGCGGATGCGAACTCTGCCAGGCAAAGCACCAAGCCTCTAGCTGTTCTGATAGCCCCTCATATCCTCCCACGGCTCTCTATGCATACACCACACATAGCCATACATAGACTATGCGGTCTCGGCCCCATGGCACGGCGTGG